ATGCTGGTACCTTGAGGCTAGAAGATGATTATTCAAGATAGAGCCATTGCTTAATCTACACAGCACTTCTCTCCTCACCCTTGTAAGATAAAAATATTAATGAAACCCATTTCCTGTCATCACAACTCCTTAGTAAAAAGATGCTACCAAGGAGACTGGGTTGGGGGTCGGGTTGTGATGGAAGAGGAGGAGCCACCGAGGAAGACTATCTTACTCTTACACGGGATGTCTACCTCTGCAGTGCCGTGTTCATGCTCTCCCCGCCTTGCATTTAGTATTTCGCAGGAAACTACCTGTGAAGAGGTCCATACTTAGTTTGCCTTCTTCCCTGTAGTGGTTTAAAAGAAAATGGCCCCCAAAGGGAGTGGCACTGTTAGGAGGTGTGGCTTTGTCAGAGTGGGTGTGGCCTTGTTGGAGGAAGTGTGTCACCGTGAAGACGGGTTTTAAGGTCTCATATATGCTCAAGATACCACCCAGTGTCTCAGACCACTTCCTGTTGACTGCAAGATGTAGAACTCTCAGCCACTTCTCCAGCGTCATGTCTGACTCTATAGCGCCATGTCCCACCATGATGATAATGGACTGAATCTCTGAACTGTAAGCCAGCCCCAGTGAAATGTTTTCCTTTTATAAAAGTTACCATGGTCACGGTGTCTCTTTAAATCAATAGAAACCCTAACTAAGACAATCCCTGTATAATGCCCACAGAAGAAAGTTAGACTTATGAGTTAGCCTCAAAATGATGGAATGAGTTCCTTTCATTTTTCAGCTTTCTCTCTCTTTACTATTTGCCTTTTTCTTTCTTTCTTTTTTAGTCAGGGTCTCTCTATATAGCCCTGGCTGTCCTGGAACACTGCATAGACCAGGCTGACCCCAACCTCCCAGAGATCCACCTGCTTCTGCCTCCTGAGTGCTGGGATTAAAGGCACGCACCACCACACCTGGCTGAAGTTCTCTTTTCCCTGTCTTCATTTTAAGAATACCTATTTTCATTATTTTTAACTGTGCATATGTGTGGGTATGTACACATGAGGGCAAGCACCCAAGGAGGCCCTACAAGAGCAGCCTCACGATTAACTGCCGAGCCCTCTATCCAGCTCATGAAATCCCCCTCTCTGTTTCTCTCTCTCCTCCCACAGGTGGAGTCCCATCTCTGATTGCTGGTCTTTCTGTTGGACTTTTGGCTGGCTACGGAGCCTACCGTGTCTCCAATGACAAACGGGATGTCAAAGTGTCATTGTGTAAGTGTCTTGTTTTCTCCAGCTACAGAGGATCAACCTGGAAGATGCCCCCTTGACACTTTGTACCAGGCTTACTGGAAAATGAACTATCAAAGTTAAGTGTCTATGAGTCCATGGCAAGCTTGAATATCGTCCTTACTGCTTTCCAGAGAGAACTGATCAAAAATAACAGTACTGACAGCCTTCCACCTCATTTCCATAACACATGTTGCAGGAAGTTGAATCAGAAAAAGCATGGAGTTATGACTAGATTTTCTTTTAGCTTTCTTAGGTGTACATTTAATGTGATTTTTAAGTTGCTGTGAAGACGCCTTTGTGCTACCTTACTGTTTAGGGCACAGATAGCCCTTATGTACAGCTGTGCCTTAGGACTGTCTAAAAAAACAGTACTTTTGCTCATTCTCATAGCATCCTTTTTGCCTGGGCTCAGCAAGAGAGTGCCTATTGTTTAACCCCCAGGGTATCTGGTTTTAGTCTTTTCACTAGCAAACATGAATGACGCTTAAAATTCTAATTCATTGTATTTGGGTTTCAGTTACAGCTTTCTTCCTGGCCACCATAATGGGCGTGAGATTCAAGAGGTCCAAGAAAATAATGCCTGCTGGTCTAATTGCAGGCTTAAGGTAAGAACCGTTCTGATCTGTGCTTTCCTGGCAGTGTTTCAGAGTGGTGAAAGTCTACAGCAATACCACCCTGAATATGCCCAGTCTCGCTGAAGTGCTGGTAATTTTTGTGAAGAATTAAATTTCATGGGGATGGAGAGGTGGCTCACTTACTGCTGGTGCAGAGGACCAGGTTTGGCTGGTGACCATCTGTAACTCCAGTTCCAAGGGATCCAACACTCTCTGGCCTCCATGTTCACCAGGCACACACATATACATGTGCATGCAGGCAAAACATTATTACACATAAAATAAAAATAAATGTTTTAAAAGACAAATTAATTTTCATGCTGGAGAAGTGACTCAGTCGTTATGAGCACTAGCTGATTTCCCACAGGAACTGAATTTGGTTTCCAGGAAGCACATCAGGTGTCTTACAACCACCTGAAACTTTAGGTCCAGGGGATCAGGCAATGTCTTCTGGACTTTGCAGGCAATCACACATACACATAGACACAGACAGACAGACAGACAGACACACACACACACACACACACACACAGACAAACTATGGAATAAATCTTTAAAAACAGTTTTAGAAGAATTAACTTTTGTTGGAAAGGTCAAATAATTATCTGGTAAGTCTAACTGTAACAGACAGAATGATTCAGTCAGTCTTTCGAGTGACCACATTCCTCTCTGATCCACTTTGTAGTGTCCCACCAGATGGACACGCTTATCTTTATCAGACTAAAGAGTCAAGTTCCCCCTTCATTTTCCTCAAGATTCCTCCACTTGTAGCAGTAAATTGGTTTAGTGACAGTCTGAGTCATTGAATTTCAAAGAGAGATCATTTTTTTTTTTTAGTAAATAACCTTAAATTTCTCTTAATTTGATCAAGTATATTCATTTCATCTCATTTTTTTTTTTGGTTGGGTGATTAGTATATTAGTTGCTTTTCTGTTACAGTGTTAGATTATCCTGATAAACAGAGAAGGAGAGGGCTTATTCCTGGGGGATGTTCCAGGGGTGATGCTGTCCATCCTGTCAGGTCAGGACAGCAGCACTGTGTGAGACAGCCTGGGAAACTGGAAGTCAAATGATCCCATTCTATCCACACCAAGAGAAAGGGAAGAGGGCCAGGCTACAAACCCTCAAAGCCTGCCGCTTGATGACACACTTCCTCCATCCAGGCACCACCTCCTAAAGCGCCACCAGCTAGAGACTAAGTGTTCATACACTCCAACCCCGGGGGGTGGGGGGGTGGGAGGTGGGGGGGTTGGGGAGGTTGGGGGGAGTGGGGAACAATTCTCATTCCCACAGCTAGTTGTTACTTAGTAACTGTTATCTTGCAATGCTGAGGACTGAACCCAGGGCCTAGCACATGCCAGGCAAGCACTCTACCACTGAGCTACATCCCCAGCCCTGATCCTGCGATTAAATATATTCTCTTGTAAATTAAAAATATTATCACGAAATTAAATATATTACCAAGTAAAATATAGAGAAAATGTTTCTGATTTCTCCTGGAAGCTGCCATTGAGTGTTGAAAGCCATAAATATTGCCTTCCTTTGGAACACATTTTCATTTTTTAGAAATTATTGCAAAAAAGAAGTATGCAAGACCTAATGTTCACTGTGGCTGTATTTCTAATAAAAAATAACATAAGCCAGAAAAATTACAGCTGCCTAGAAATTCACCAGAAAATAAATGTAAACATTTCATCCATTTAAGGAATATTAAACAGGCATTTGCACATCATGCTTGAAAAACCAGTTGGCATCATTGGAAATGAATAATGTCATAATAAAATATAAAAACAGGATGAAAACACACCAGATACAGTTTGACCCAATGTTTAAAGATGTCTATGGCAAAAACCAAGATAAGAAGGAACTACTTCAAAGTATCAGTAGTATTTTGCCTTGAGTTAAAGCCTCCTGAATAGTTTGAGGGTCTTTTGTTGCTGTAGAGTTTTCTAGAGTGGCTCTGGATTTATCTAGTGTGGTGTTTTTTATTTGTGGTGAGGAGGTGCCAAAGACAACTTTCCAATTAGTGCCCCTGACCTGAAGATGGTGTTTGATGCTGGGAAAGATCAAAAGTGGGGGTCAGTGATGAAGAAAGGACCCCAGGTGATGGAATGTTCCTGGTACTCTTAAAAAAAAAATGCCCCACTTAATTATTCCTTGAACCTTTTTTCTTTTGTAAAAAGATTTCTCTCTCTCTCTCTCTCTCTCTCTCTCTCTCTCTCTCTCTCTCTCTCTCTCTCTCTCAGACAGACACTCTCTCTCTCAGACAGACAGACAGACAGACAGACAGACACACACACACACACACACACACACACACACACACACACACACACACATGTACATGCCTTGAGTGTGCAGGTGCCTACAGAGGCCAGAAGAGGTCATCAGAGCCCTTGGAGCTGGAGTTCCATATCCATATCCATATTTATTGTTATGAGCACCTGCCATGGATGCAGGATGTGAACTCTGGTCCTCTGGAAGAGCAACAAGTGCTCTTAACTGCTGAACCATCGCTCCAGCACCCTTGATTATTTTTTCCAGTTGCTTTTCTTGGGTAGCTTTTGGAAGTTTACATTTCTCCTGACTGTAGCACGAATCTTAAAAGGACTTATTAATAAAATCAAACCCAGGGCCAGGCATTAGGGTGAATGCTGAAAGATCAGAGAAGCAGGACAAGCTACAGCTTCCTCACCTTGCCAGTTCCTCAGCTGATTCTGTTTCCTTAGACTGGAAGCCTCTAAGTCCTCATCCAAATGGGTCTCAGCTGAACTGCTGCTCAAAAGCCTAAAAGCTTAACCAGCCAAAAGCTTAACCAGGCTCTAGTTCCTGGTCCTCACACCTTATATACCTTTCTGCTTCCTGCCATCACTTCCTGGGATTAAAGGCTCTTGTTACCATGCCTAGCTGTTTCCAGTCTAGCTTTGAACTCACAGAGATCCAGGCGAATCTCTGCCTCTGGAATGCTAGGATTAAAGGTGTGAGTGCCACCATTTTTGGGCTCTATATCTAGTGGCTGTTCTGCTCTCTGACCCCAGATAAATTTATTAGGGTGCACAATATTTTGGGGAACACAATACCACCACACCTGACCTTTCTCCCTTAATCTGTTATCCAAGGTTTTCAGAACAGCTGGGTTGTATTTCTCTTATCTGTTCAGGGAATGTTTGTAAGTTGCATCTGAGAAGTCAGAACACAAGAAAACTTAATTCCCTGCCCAATGCTCTAAGGAGGGCTAATAGAACCCTTAGAGGCCACAGCACAGGAACATGACAGGGAGCACATGACCTTCCTGTCCATCAGAGTGACCCTCCCTTTCTCTTCTGTTTATTCAGCCTCATGATGATCCTGAGACTGGTCCTGCTGTGGCTTTAGCACCTAGAGGAGCCAAGAGCCAAACTCCCATCTTTCTACTGGACATGGCAGAACAGGTTCTTGTGTTTGAAAGATCGATTTCAATAGATGGTAAATGTCGTACATGAAATGAAAATGATGTTGTTACCCTAATATTTAAAACTAGGTGGCAATATTTGTTTGCCCCCTTTATTTAAAGCACAAATTTTAGCTGTTTCTATTTGTTAATTCTGGTCTTTAATGAGTTGTTACGTATTCATTTGTGTATCATTTTGTATGTGGAATTTGGGGGCTTGCTGTTTTCTACTTCTGACAGTTCCAAACACTTATGACTCAAGTAAGTTAAACTGCAACCCATCAGGTAATGGGATCCGGAGTGAACCACAGGCTGTTGAAATGTTGTATGTCAGTTAGGTACATTAGGGATTTTGTTTGTATTATTGCCAGGAGTTTTTTGCACTGAAGGAATTCCATTCTCAGCTCATCAGTGTCCTAACAGAATGTATTCAGTATTCAAATAAAATGCATTTTATTTTATGCCTCCTCATTCATTTTTGTGTCTTTTCTAGAAACTCAATCAATCATCTTTGACATTTACATGTTTCAGTATTAGTAAAAAGGATGTCAAGGGAATGTTGTTTATACCAGCACTCCATCCTTCTCAGGGCATCTCCCTCTCTTCCCCCCTCCATGTCAGATCACCACTCCATTTTAAGAACAGTTGTAGCTGGTAGTGTCCAAGGCAGTTTAAGGACCAGATGGACCATCTGCTCATTTCCACTGGCTCCTGTGGCCTCTGGGAAGTCAGTCTTTCCCTAAGGACTCAGTGTCTCATCCCTAAGGGTTAAGGCATGGTAGCATGCTCTCCAGGGCACCAAGACTCACAGTTTCAGTCCTTCTGACTGTGGCCTTTGGTGAAATGGGAAGGGGTGGAGAGCTCTGGCTGCCAGGCTGGAAGGCAGAGGAACTTACAAGCAGCTTATAAAACTCTCAGCCATCAGGAATTGAGAGATGGAGAAAGTAAACCCACTAGGTGAACCACAGAGGAAACCTGTACATACTCCTTTGGTACACTTTAAAGGATCTCCTTTAAAACAGAAAAAAGGAAGCCCCTCTGACCTGGTAATGCCAAAGAGATCGCTACCACATGCTGGGCTGGAAATGGCAGGTGGTACTTCCTTGCCAACAGCCAAAGTGGACAATGGCTTCTATTCACACTGTGATTGACACTGAAATAAAGGCAAATCGTGTGACTGATTGTAGAAATATTTGCTGTATGTGTAAGATATAGTAAATGATGGAAAGTTTTAGAAGGTAGTTGAAGCTATGCTGCATTCTGAATTATTGACAAAAAGCAGTGAAAGTTAATGATGGTGATGTGTGTTTCTATTATTATTATTATTATTATTATTATTATTATTATTTAATCTGTGAGGGTCAGCAAGGTAGCTTAAAGCTAAACTGATAATTTGAGTTCAGTCCCCAGAGCCTACAGCGTATAAAGAGAGTTGTTCTCTGACCTCCACACATGTGCCAAGGCAAACACAGGTGTACATATGTACACACACACACACACACACACACAAACACACACACGTAAATGTAATGAAGACACTTTGACTTCCACTCACTACATACAAGTCTGTTCTAGCACTTACAGAATGCAGAGAACCCCTACTTGGTTTCCTGGACTCATTCTTGGTAGCATATCTTATTTCAAACAGGAGTTAGCTTTTCTGACTTATTGATAAGTTTCCAGTAGTTTATTTCCTTGTACATTTATTATTTCTTTACCGACATGGCTTCAAGGATGTTTTCCTGGTTATTGATACAAACACAGTGTGAAGTGTTTACTGAGTCACTTGGGCCTCTGTGTGTGTAGTATTCAGCTACTATAGTGCTCATGTGTTTAAGAAACATGCCTTGTTCAAATTTGAATATGTTCTTCGCAGTCCCAATAGATTCATCATCCAACGGAGGCTTCCTCTGGCTTCCAGGGTGGGGAAATCTATTAACTGTAGGAACTTGGCTGATTCTGACCTTGAAGTCCTACAATGTAAAAGGCTACAATCCATGAGAAAATAATGTAGCAAAATAAATACAAAGGAGGTATGGCCTTACAAATGAGAAAAAATGTGTGAAATTTGTATTTCCTGGGGATAGTTTAGTGGTTAAGGAAGCTTCCACTCTTCCAGAGGAGCTGGGCTCTGTTACCACAATCAGTTGGCTCACAATCATCTGTAACTTCTGCTCAGGTGATCTGACACCCTCTCCTGACCTCCTCCAGGACCTGCACACATGCATGCATGTGTATATGAGAGTATGTAAGTTTATGTGTGTGTGTATGTGTGCATGTATCTGTGTGAGATTGTGTGAGAATGTAAGTATATATGTGAGTGTGAGTGTGCAAATTATAAAAGAAACAAAATTTGTTTTCTGCACTGTGAGAAAGGGTAAGGATAATAGAATTTTCCTACATTGTCTGTTATTGCCAAATGATACTACACTTGTACAATGCAAGTTCCAACATTTTTATGAGTAATAAAGTATTCGTAAACTGTAACCAATTGATCTCATTTTTTAAAATTATTTAAATTTATTTATTTATTTTACATCCCGATTGCAGTTTCAGGATTTATTTTATATTCCTCTTTACTTTTTTCCCATTCTGTCCCCCAACCTTCCCTTTATCCCATCCCCCTCCCCCCCCAATCCACTCCTCCTCTGCTTCTGTTCAGAACAGGGCCAGCATCCCATGGATACTAACAAAGCATGGCATTTTAAGTTTCGGTAAGACTAAGCATCTTCCCTTGTATTAATGCTTGGGTAAGATGACCTGGTATGAGGGTTATGAGGAATAGGTTCCCAAAAGCCAGCCAAAGCACTGGGGAGATCCCCTGCTCCCATTGATTTTTTTTGTTTGTTTGTTTTTGAATTATTTATTTATTACGTACACAATGTTCTGTCTGCACATATCCCTGCAAGCCAGAAGAGGGTGCCAGATCTCCTTACAGATGGTTGTGAGCCACCATGTGGTTGCTGGGAATTGAACTCAGGACCTTTGGAAGAGCAAGCAGTGCTCTTAACATCTGACCCATCTCTCCAGCCCCCCTGCTCCCATTGTTAGGGTTCCTACAAGTATAACTGTCACACATATGTAGAGGGCCTAGGTCAGTCTCATGCAGGCTCCATTGGTGTCGGTTCAGACTCTGAGCTCCTATGAGCCTAGGTTAATTGATTCTGTGGCTTTTCTTGTAATGTTCTTGACCCCTCTGGTTTATACAATCCTTCCCTCTCTTCAGCAGGATTCCCTGAGCTTGGCCTAATGTTTGGCTGTGAGTCTCTACATCTGTTTCCATCAGTTACTATATGAAGCTTCTCTCATGTTAATTAGGGCAGGCACCAATCTATGAATATAGCAGAATATCGTTAGGTATCATTACTTTGGCTTTTTTTCTCCAATCATGTTTGGTTCTATCCTAGGTCTCTGGGCCATCCAGACTCTGGATCCTGGCACTCCAGACAATTTTAGGGGTGGGTTCACTCTCATGGTATGGGTCTCAGGCTGGACCAGCCATTGGTTGGCCACTCCCATAATTTCTGCCACCCTTATCCCAGCACATCCCATAGGCTGGACAGACTGTAGGCAGAAGGCTATATGGCTGGGTTGGTGTCCTAGTCTCTCCCTTGGAGGTCTTCCTTGGTTACAGGACATGGCCAGTTCAGACTACATATCCTCTGTTGCTAGGACTCTTAGCTAGGGTCACCCTTGTAGATCATTGGGAGTTCTGTTGCACTAGGTTTCTACCTCACCAAGAAATGCCCCCCTTTTCTGGTTGTCTATCCTCTACTCTTGCCCCTTCATCAGTGGAGGGAAGATGAGCTTCCTCCGTGGCCACTGTTGTCGTTAAGAAATGACTGTGTGACCTGACATCGTCTTACCTGCCCTGTCCCCCAGAGGAAAGCAACTGTTGGTTCTTGAGAAAGGGATCTTGCTTTGCATCCCAGGCTGACTTTGAACTCCAGACCCTCCTGCCTCAGCCTCTGCAGCACTACAGCCCCAAGTGTGAACCACTGCACCAGCTTAGGAAGCACCTTTATTAAGGTTCTACCACATGCCAGGAAAGTCACAGAGATTCACTTCCTGCAGAAGCCTCCCCCAGGTCCCTGAGATGGTCGAGCTGGCCTTACCTGCTTCCCCATGTTTTTAACTGAGCACATTGGGTGGAAGGCACCTGCCTGTGTGCTTGTTTTCTGGACCAGATGTGTCTAATAATGGCATCTTTACATTTCCAGCACAGGATGCAGCATCAAGATGAAAGTGAATTCGTCAAGGATAATGGATAACTGAGTGAAAGAAGAAAGAAACAACACCCGTTCATTCTCTCTGAAGTCCTTAGGAACTGTTAGATAGCATTACCCACAGCAGAGGGAAGCCTGCGAGAATACTGGGCTTGCATTTTAGCAATACCTTTACCATTACCTGAGAGAACACTGGCTTGCACTCTTGATGACTTCGAGGAGCTGCACATGCACCCAGCTCAGCCGATTGCCCACAGAAAATCTTGCCAGTGGTCTCTTAGGGCCTGCAGGGTGGTCGGGATGGAGGAGGCAGAAGGGGAGGGCCACTCTCAACATATAAATTCAAATGCTCTTAGTTTGGCAGAAGAGAGTTAGATACATTTTCGTTTTGTGTATGTGTTTACTTGTGTGTGCATACACATGCTATGGATGCATAAGTCGAGGCTGGAGGATAACTTGAGGGAGTTTGCTCTACTGC